TTTTTCTGTGATTTTAGTGTTTATTGTTGGTTGGTTTTTTTAGATTCCATATATAAGTGAGATCATACAGTATTTGTCTCCACTGAACTTTCGTTGCAGTCCTATAGCATACATATTCCTAATAAATTTATTTTTAAAAATTGTCTTTTTCAAAAAGTGACTTAATGACCTTTATAATATTTAAGTTATATCTCAAATAACATTGGAATATACAGATGCTAGCCCCCATTTTAAATTTGCATATTCTCTCTAAATTGATTGGTGTATTATGCTTATCTATTTATATAAAAGCCTAAGCGATCTTTATGACGGAACAACTGGAACGACCAGTCACTATGATGCGCACTGACCACTAAGGGGCAGACGCTCAACACAGGAGCTGCCCCCAGCCCACAGGCCCTGATCGCCAATGGGGCCTGCCAGCCAACCTTCTGGTCCCTCCCCATGGCCAGGCCCCCAGGCTGGGACAGGGAACCAGGGATGGGTGGTGGTGGACACGGCCCCTTTCCCAGGGGGACTGAGGGCCAGCTCCCCTCCTCGGGACCAGTGGCCAACCTCCTGGGTCCCTCCCCCGTCCCTCCTCCATCCCTCCCCCAGCCAGCAGGCCCTGATCAGTCCACTGCCTGCCCACCATGGTGGTGGTTGGCCCCTCCCCTCAGCCGGCAGGTCCCCATCACCCAATTGGGGTTGGCCCCAGGCTAGGACAGGGAACCAGGAGTGGGTGGCAGCGGCTGTGGGCGGTGAGGGAAGGAGAAGGGGGGGAGGCAAAGAGGTGGGGAACCATGCAGTGGTGGCGTGCAGTGGTGGCGTGCAGGATGGCGAGGGAAGGAGAGAGCGGGCTGCAGGGAGGTTGGGAATCTGATCAGCCCTGATCACTGGCCAGCCCTAGGGACCCCACACATACACGAATTTCGTGCACAGGGCCTCTTGTAAATATTATAGTAGATTAACTATATTATTTAAATTTATAGTTAAGTTCAATATTTTTATTTGGCAAAGTATTACAAATGTCTACTATGAAATATATTTAGTTATTTTGAACCACATAATTAAGTAGAAAATATTATTACTGACAAAATATATGTAAACTGGATTTATTGAATAGCTTATGAAATACATTGTCTTGTAACTATTGTTATAAGATTACATATACAAAGTAAATATTTGCTAAAGAATTTTTTAATGAAAATATTAGTGAGGTAATTACATATTATTTATGTACTCTGCATTTTGACAGATTTAGAGAAATATATTTTTATTTTATTTAAAAAAAATTTGTCAACCAATAACTTCAGGTGTTTCTAATGTGCAGCCAGAATTAAGAACCAGTATTGCAGACTAGAGCTTTTCAAATAGACTATGCTTGCAGCCCCCTGGGAGTCGTCTATAATTATAATTTCTGATTCAGTGAGTCTGGAGAGCCTAAGACTGCTTTTAGAACAGGAGATGCTGATGTTACGGGTCCTGGGAAAGGCACTTTAGTATGAAGATCCTTCCAAGACAAGATTCCCATGAAATCCCAAAATGATTACCAAGCAGATAGAAGCTCCTTGTCCAGTTCTCTAGGGGAAAGGACTGCTTTTTGTATTTTTATTTTTTTAAATCTCTGAGTGTGCAAGGGGAAAAAAAAAGCTGCCAGTAGAACTCTAGGTCCTTCATGCCTGTTCTAGAGGGAGCAGCCTGGAGTGGGAAGAGAGGAAAAAAGCTTCCCTTACTCCTATCCCCCTCACCTCCTGCCTATGCTATATTTAATCTTACATATGCAGGTTTATTTTGTTGTTCTTGTTCTGTGCTGTCCCTGCCACACCCCTCTCCCTTGTACACTCCCCCACCCCAACACCACTGTCTGTTAACCCTGCCAAGCCTGAGCTTAGGCTGGGTGCAGCTGGCTCCCACTAAGTGGCTGCAGCTAGGTCACTGCAGTGAAGCCAACCCCCAGCTGCTGAGAAGCTCACCTTTGGCACCAGTGTCAGTCCCTGAGGCCTCGGTGAAGGTGCTGTGCCCACACAGGCTGCCCCTACCTGCATCCACAGTGGAGTAGGCCTGGCCAGGCACAAAGACAACACCTGCGCTGCAGGGCTGGCGAGGCCTCAGCCAGAGGGGGAACCTCCTGCCTAAATATTTTGATGATAGTGTTTTTATTGATTAGCCATACAGTATTAGTTAATTTATTATCAAGTTACAGAAGAGACTGTGTTGTTGTTATTTAAGTACCACCAATCACAGCTTAATAGATACTGCATAACCAACCATTTACTAGTAATTTTACTGTACAGAATTGATCATTTTACTTCTGAATTATTAGATCATTTACAAGAAGTATTTTTATAAAAGCAAACATAAACTATCAAAAATAACACAGTTATAACGTGTGTGTGTTTGTGTTCATGCCTAGTACATAGTGTATTTCTACTATCAATAAAATTGCATTCATTTAGATTTGTACAAATATTCATCAACATATGTACCTACAGTAAGATAGTTATTTTATTTTGACTCATTTAGGTAGGAATTAAATTTACTCCAAAAAAGTTATGGTTGCCCTTGCTGGTTTGGCTCAGTGGATGGAGTGTTGGCCTGCAGAATGAGGGGTCCCGGGTTCAATTCTGGTCGGGGGCACATGCCTGGGTTGTGGGCTCGGTCCCCAGTAGGGGGCGTGCAGGAGGCAGCCAATCCATGATTCTCATCATTGATGTTTCTATCTCTCTTTCCCTCTCTTTTCCTCTCTGAAATCAATAAAAATATATTTTTTAAAAAATTAATGGCAGTTATTCTTTTATGTCCTCAGTATATAAGCAGAAGCCCTAAGCATATATTTATTATTGTTAAATTAGGATTTTTGTATATTTTTAAATAGAACATTTTATGAAAATATGTTGAGTTCTAAAATAAGTAGTTTGTTAAAAACATTTATTAACGTAATATATGTCCCTGGAAAATCACTTTAATTTTGTATGATAGTCTTAATTTAGAAAGTGGCCAGCAGTGATTTCTCTAAGACCAGAAATAACTAAGCATGTTTACCGTTCTTGACCTTTGGATGTACACCTAGCATAGGATCCTTTTTTCTAGGTTTTCCATTCCTGCAAAAATGTACTCTGAAAGTAATATGGATTTAAGCAAAGATAAAAATCAATAACACTATTCATCATATAACTTTACTCATTTATATTTTAATGTTTATGATTTTTGATGAAAATTTAGTCATTTGCATTCCATTTTTATGTTTTCGCCATATGCATATAGCATATATACCTTACCCTATCTAATAATAGACAAACATGGTAATTGACCATACCTTCACTACGCTTCCCATTGGCTAATCAGCGAGATATGCAAATTAACCACCAACAAAGATGGTGCATGTGGAGCAGAGGAGCGAAGACTGAAGGTGGCTCCGGCCAGAGCAGCGAAGGCTTTGATTGCTGCTCTGGCTGGAGCAGCGAAGGCTTTAAAGGCGGCTCTGGTTGGAGCGAAGGCCTGGGTCCCCGGTGCCGAAGGAAAACCGGTGCAGGCAGCCAGGGGAAGGGAAGGCCTATTGCATGAATCTTTTCGTGAAACAGGCCTCTAGTTTATTTAATATTTGTCTACTCACTTTTTAACTAATTCAAAATTTTAAAGTACATTTATTTCAATATAATAAATAGAAAAGTTATGTGACTAAAAAGTCATCGCTGTCAATTCAATATCAACAAGATTCCCAGACTTGGGGTTTGGTGAACTGGGAGAATTTATTCAATCAAAACAAATCAATTGTGAAACAGTGTGTCTGTGAAACAGTTCAGTTGTTTAACAGCGTGGATATGGAACAGCACAGCTTGGAACAGTCCGGGTGAGGTAGCCCACGCAAGGAGGCTGCAGTGTCACAGCTCCCATGCCACAGCTCTGCTCAGACAAGACAGCTCCACTTTTCCCCAACGAGACAGCTCCTCTCCAGTGTTACAGCTTCTGCCAGGGAAACACAATTTTCAATGGAAACTAAAAGCGTGCTCCAAGAGATAGAGGGGAGATTGATGCAGAAGTTTCCAACCCTTGTCCCTGATTGGTCCATTTCTATGCAAATGAGAACTCCAAATACTCACAGTTTGCTTGGTCCAAATAGCAGCATCCTCATTGGTCAGATGGAGCCATTCTGATTGGTTGGTGACATGCAAATGCAGATATAGCTGCACAGCTCTGGTTGGATGGGGGAAAGTCTCAATCTTATTGGCAGCATTTTTATCCTAGGAGCTCTCTCACAAGGGTCTATTCAGAAGGCAGGAGCACAGTACAGCAGGCTTGGCAGGTTACTCTGTGGCTTTTCACAGTGTGCATGAGAGGCCTCTGTCAACAATGGCTGCTAGGCTCTGGTAATAAATTTGGGCTTGATTAACCATAAGGAGCCCTTCTTGGCAGGTATATTCTTATCGGGGTCAACACTTGTTTGCCATAATAAATAAAAATGATTAAAAATAAAGCAATATAGTTATCAAAATGATATCTGGATCTTGCTTGCTAAGGTCTCTGAATATAAGGCCAGCTCTCATTTTGTTAAAAAGGTTTTATGTTAGCCCTTAAGAAAGGTATTAAAGATACCCAAGCACCACCCTGGGACTTTCTCTTTGAGTGTTCAGAAGGACTGAGGAAGAAATGGAACATAAATACATTTTTAACAGTGTGGTTCAATGTAATTTAGTGCCATCTCTCAGGACTCCACAAATGATTTCCTTTCCTGCTGGTTATGGACATCCCCACACTGATAAGCACTGCTGTTTTGTGTATGTGTGCTTCAGGTATGCATTTAAAAATTAGCTACCTTGAATAAAATGTAAAGTCACTGTTGTGTTACTAATTTTGAATAACTAATTTAATTCATTAATATTAACATATGTTGACTTTTCTGTGTATGTGTGACACTGAACTCTGATATCCAAAGTGTATTTAAATTAAAATATGTTGTACAGGTGCAAATAAAAGAACTCTAGCAATAATAACAAAAATTATTTTTTCTATTTTTACAGCTTGCAGACCAGGATTCTATAAAGCATTTGCTGGGAACACAAAATGTTCTAAATGCCCTCCACACAGTTTAACCTACATGGAAGCAACTTCTGTCTGTCAGTGTGAAAAAGGTTACTTCCGAGCTGAAAAAGACCCACCTTCCATGGCATGTACCAGTAAGTCTATATTTTGCATTTGGAAATCCTATTTCAGACCCTTTTGGCCTCTATTCTAATATTTTTAAAATGTAGATATACAAAATTCTGTACCATCAATGCTAATTGTCTTTGATAACAGTCAAGGAAAAAGTTTTTCTTTATTATCAGAAGTTTTTAACTCTTTGCAAAGAATTATGTTTACTCCTCAAAATTCACATTTATCCTTCACATGCAAATACCAAACACTGGTTTGGAGACCTGTAAATTTTCCCTAACCATAATCAGTCCTTAGGAAATTAAAGTAGTTTAAGGCTGCCTGAGAATTTATAAGCAAAACTTCTCGTCTTTGCTTCCACCCTTGACCATTTTTTTAGGCAGTTCAAGTTAGGACAATCAAGTTTTCCATGTGAAGAAACTTCCCCAGGGGACAATAGCCATTGTGCTATTGTTATGTGGAAAAGTTTTGAGTTTTCTTTGACATTTTTCTTTAAAGGAAGATATTTCTGAGTTTGTTTACATTTCATCTCTCACTCTTTCTCCAATTTTGGGGTTGGAATCAGTAGATTTAAATCTAAATGTTAAGGTCATTTTAATGCATACACTAAGAATTTTAAATTATTTGTATCTGTTATTAAAGTATTGTGAAATATCTGTACATTATAAAAATAAAAATGAATATATTAATGCATTGCTAGGCTATGCAAAAGTAAAATGTCAGCTCTTAGATAGTTATAAAAATCTTGTTAAATACATGAATAAGATAGTATAGTGACATTTTGCCCATCTTTTTGATGAATTGGTGCCAAAATATTACTTATCTTGTATAATTCTTAGAGGCAAATATATATTGAGAATTATGTAATGTGAGATATTCCTTAGAGGCAATAGATAAGTCCTATTTTTTTAACTAATACAGTTGTTAGATTTGTCTGTATTACTACAGACTTTCATATAAAATATCTTTATGAACACATTTAATAAAAATGCAACACATTCGTTAATAGATGTAATTCTTACTTTTTTGCAAGTGCTGAGATACTACCTTATTCAGAAATTGGTAGCCTGGGAAATTACTACCTTGAAATTTTTTCTCCTAAGGAAATATTTTAAATTTACAAATAGGAAAAGGAAAATTCTAAATATAATTTCTCAAGTGATTTGGAAATAGTTTTGAACAGGAAGAGCTTGATATTACTATACATAGGCAGTCCTTCTTGCACCGTTTGTGTATATCATTATGTTATATTGTGGATAACATACACCAGCTTAGATAGATGGTGGGGTTTGAAATAGCTACAGTACTACCAGGCAAATATATTTCAAATCCTATATCAGAAAGTGAATGGAGCTTCTCATATGAGTGATAGAAGAGAATATCCTCTCTTTATTTTCTTAGGTCATAAATATACAGTTGACAAGTTGAAGGAATATATCGGGTCTTATTATTATAACCCTTCAGTGAGGTAGCAACATAGGTAGTTCGCAAGACTTATGGTTCTTTGGAGCAAGAGACTAATTAAGAAATAAATAGGGATGCAACAAGGTCTATGAACCTGGCAAACTAGTCAGTCAGTCATTGTTGATTCAGATATGTATATTTACCAGCTTAATGTTTTATGTTTTCAAGATTTTCTTTCATTTAAAAAAAATCTTTTTTTATGTTCGATATTATAAATTACTAGAGGCCTGATGCACGAAGATTTGTGCAAGAATAGGCCTTCCTTCCCCTGGCTGCTGGCACCGCCTTCGCTCCGGCCCGGGGCTGCCTTTCCGCCTTCACTGCAGCCCGGAGGCACCTTTCCACCTTTGCTCTGGCCAGAGCCTCCTTTCCGCCTCTCACCTTGTTGCGTCAATTTGCATATTCCCTCCTTATTGGCTGTGGGCGATGCCATCTTTGTCACGAAGTTACAGTCAATTTGCATATTCCATCTTTATTAGATAGGTCGTGCTTAAAATGTTTGCCTGCCTTAGCTATACTAAGTGCAATTCAAAATTGTTTAATTCTGGTCATTGTTGGGCAGTGCTTTAGGCAGGGAACAGCATTCTATGTTGCCATCAGGGATTAAAGATAGAACTGTCCCCAAAAAGCTGAAAACTTTTGTCAGGTCTCCTGGTCCAGACCTAGGAGGCTCCCCTCTCAAGGTTTCTCCCTACTGCTTCCTTGAGGACTTCTTTTCCCTGTTTTAGCAAAGACTTAGCATAGTGTGTTAGTAATTTACCATCTTTTAGAGTCAAATTATCTGAGCATAAATCTTTGTTTTGGTGCTTTCTAGGTATGTAACCTTGGACAAATTATTTAACCTCTCTTTGCCTCAGTTGTACCATTTGTAGTGATCATAACAGTACCTATTTCATTCTTTTGTTATGATGATTAAGTTAATATTTGAAAAGTGCTAAGAACAATACCTAGCACATAGTAGGTATCTGATGTCAGTAAAGTTTTTGAATTACACTCTAATTAGATGAGAGACCCTTATTGTTATTGCAGTATATTCAGGAAAAGGGAGACACATAAACTCCAAAGCATCATAGCTCATAAAGATTAAAGGATTAGATTATTGGGAAAGAAAAATCAGGAAAAGAACAAGTCAGGAGGTCATTGAACAATTAGACAATTAGACCCTGGTCCTTCTTAAGAGGACCACCAGGGTTTACCAAGACACAGTACTTTTGAAGCTGCAAATCAAGCAAGTAGTCAACCCTTCCTATCTTCCATTAACCACAAACAATATTCAGATTTTAATATCTGCAAGCTCCCTTGACTTCGAGATCATATATCTACAAATTAGCCATTCTTTAATGCCTTTATTCCAACTGTGTATTATATAAGGGTTAGAATTCAGGTCAGGTGAACAGTCAATCCCATCACTTTCTGATGATTTTTGTCAGTGTAAGCCTTTGAAACTGTTTTTAGAGAATTTTCCAGGGGTTTAAAAGGAGGTATCTTTTCCCCTTAGTATCAGGGGCAGGGACATTTTGAATGTATGAGTTTAAAAGAAAATAAAGGAGTAAAATATTGGGAATGACTAACCAGGAATTTTGGCTGATAAACAGCATAGTAAGGACAGAGTTCATATATGTATTTTGTATGATTATGTAAATGATATGATTTTAAGGACTCTAAGGAAGTCATTCCCTGCCTCTTAGTGCCATCAACAACCCTTAAGTTTCTGGTACAACAATGCATGTGATTTCACCATTAAGATTTCTAATGAACAAAATAAATAGACAAACAAAAAAGAAACAAACTCATAGATACAGAGAACAGACTGACTGTTGTCAGAGGGGAGAGGGATTGGGAGGCTGGGTGGAAAAGGTCAAGGGATCCAGCAGCACAAATTGGTAGTTACAGTATAGTCACCGAGATGTAGATTACAGCATAGGGAATATAGTCGGTAATATTGTGATAAATATGTATGGGGCCAGGTAAGTACTTGAAGCAGCAGGAGGACCACTCTGTGAAGTACATGATTTTCTAACCATGTTGCTGTACATATGACACTGATACAGAATAATATTGAATGTAAACTGTAATTGAAAAAAATATATATAACAATAATTTAGCATTTGATAGCCCTGGCCAGTGTGGCTCGGTTGGAGCATTGAATATTGCTTTCTCTCTTTCAATATAGAGATATGTGTCTTTTTTTACTTCATGATCATGAAACATGTAACATACATAATTTATTTAAATAAATATTTTTTTTAATATTGTTTTCTTTTAGGACAGTTTTAGGTTCACAAGAAAATTAAGAGATAATATGGAGATTTCCCATGTATCCTCCTACCTCTGATGTTCATAGCTTTCCTCACTATCAACATCCTCATCGAATGATACATAGGTTACAACTGATGGATCTGCATTGACACACCATAATCACCCGAAGTCCATAGCTTACATTAGGGATCACTCTTGGTTTGTACATTCTATGGATTTGGACAAACACTATAGCATCGTACAGACTATTTTCACTGCCACAAAATCTGTGCCCTGCCTATTCATCCTTTCCTCCCACCAACCCATGGCAACCACTTATCTTTTTACTGTCTCATTCATAATACAGTATGTAGCCTTTTTAGACTGGCTTCTTTCACTCAGTAATATTTATTTAAGACTCTTCCATGTCTTTTTAATGGCTAGATAGATTATTTGTTTTTTAGTGCTGTCTGGGTGTACCACAGCTCATATATCCATTTACCCACTAAAGGACAGCTTGGCTGCTTCCCAGTTTTGGCAATTATGAATAAGCTGCTAAACATGAATGTGTAGCTTTTTGTGTGGACATAAGTTTTCAGCTCCTTTGAGTAAATATCATGAAGTGTGACTGCTAGATTATATGGTAAGGGTTTGTTTAATTTTATAGGAAACCACTAAATTATTATTTTGCATTCCCACCAATAATGAATGAGAGTTCCTGTTGCCCCACATGCTTGCCAGCATTTGATATTGTCAGTGTTGTGTATTTTGGCTATTTCTAATAGGTGTGTAGTGGTATCTCATTGTTGTTTTAATCTGCATTTCCCTGGTGACATGCTATGCAGAGTGTCTTTTCATATGCTTATTTTCCATCTATGTATAAAGTTTTTGGTGAGGTCTCTACATAAAGATTTGTAGATGTTTCAAAAAGTTGAAACAAACAAAAAAAGATGTCTCATCATCATAGCTAACCTCTTGAACAGTTGTGTTGGTGGTGGTGGTGAGGTAATCTGATCCTTGAACTTTCTACTGGCCTGGCTATCATTGTTAATTTCCTCTTTTGACTTTTTTTTCCTCACTAACTTCTAGCTCACAGCTTGTAAGTACACTCAAACTTCTATCCTTTAAAAAATACTCCCAATCCAATGTTCTTTCTCCTCAAAAACACATCTTGGAAAAGCAGTCTTCACTGGCTATAGCTACTTCTTCGCTTTTAATTTAATTTTCATTCTACTGCATTCAGATTTTTGCTCTTCGCTCTACTGCAATCAGATTTTTCTCCCACCACTTCAAGTATACTGTATAAGAAAAATTCACCAAT